GTGACGATATTAGCACCGAAATCGGCCGGGAACCAAAATCCAAAACCCATGAAACCAAAAGCGGGAACCTGGGAACCCAGCCTGCTACAAAAATGAACTGGAAACTTTCGCCAAATCAATCGATTTCCGCTAGGACCCCTTCCAGAACCGGGAACCCGGGAACCCAGCCAGCTGCCAAAATCGGCGGGAAACTTTCGCCAAATCTTTTACCGAAATCGGCCTGGAACCAATAATCCGGGAACCTGGGAACCCAGAACTCGGGAACCCAGCGTGTGACCTGCGAGAAACTTTCGCCAAATTTGACAGCTTCCGCTAGGACCCCTTCAGTGCAAGCACTGATTGGGGAAAAACCTGCTGGAACCCAGAGCCTCGCAACCTGCCCCACCTCCCTGCAAGCCGCAACCAGCGCCTGGCCACTTCAGGACCTTAGACCACCAGCCGACGCCAAGGCCGGAGGCCGGTAGATGCCAAACTCGGCGGCGAGCGAGAGGGGGAAATGAGAAGGCGAATGCCTTCTCGGAAGGCGGCGTGTCTTCTCAGAAGGCTTCTCGTCTTGCGAGAGTTTTCTGCGTCTTCGGGAAGGCTCAGAAAACTATTCAGAAGGCCGGAGGTTTCCGAGCCTCCCGAGAAGGCCCACCCCATCTCACTTCCCCCCGGGCTCGCCGCCGAGCGGGGAGAGAGAGGTTCGGATGTCGAGGATTGCTTCCGTCCATGACCTGTCGGTCTGACGAAGTGGATGGAAACACGAAGTTTGAAAGCGTTGGAAGTAGAGGGGGCTCCCGCCCGCCCCTGAAGAGGAGGGGAGAGGGAGCACCACTCGACTCTTGAAATAGGAAGATGCCTAGAAAGAGTACTGGGGTTCGGCAATCCAAAAATACCTACTGTCAACAGACGACGGGTATCCTTACTCATACATGCCAGTCGGAGGAAGTAGGTGGAACCGTGATGTAGGAAGGCGGACGAAATGGATCGCGTCTGGGCCCGCCCAGAGAACAGTAACCAACGGCAGACACACATCGACTCTTGAAATAGGAAGGCGCTTGAAGTTGACTGGGATCTGAATATCCGAAGATACCTATAGGTTCAACGATCGACGTGCTTCCTTATGAATCACTCGACCCTGTCACACCCCGAGATGGGTCGGTGGGGCGGGGCGGGCGTTTCGCCCGAGACTTCCTCACCATCGATGGTCCTGAAGCTTGGAATGTGCAGCAACATCATGGATGGAGGGCGGGTGGATTTCAAAACTGTGACTCTCGCCTGAACGCCGCGCGCATTCGTCTGAAAGTTTAAAGTCTGCAATAGTTTCACGGATGGAATGCGGGCCTTTTCAGACAGTGGCCCTCGCCTTAGCGCCGCGCACATTCTGCTTAGACGTTTGCAGCACTTTCGCGGAGGGCGGGTTCTTTCTAAAATGTGGCTCTCGCCTGGGCGCAACGCACATTCGTTTCACAGTTGAAGTACCAAGAACTGCTTTCTGGGACGGAGTGGGATTGTCAGGGTGCAGTAGTCACATTGGTTCGCTATGGTTTTTGTTTAGCAATCCGCGGCGGATGTGCATGGACGGACATCCTGGCGGTCAGACTGTAAGTGCAAGGCAAGCTGGAAGACGGACTCTACCAATCGTGGGGCAATTCTGGCCAAGGGGGTGAGCGTGGCGCGCCTCGTCAGCAACTCGCCAACCAACATCTCCCCTGGCCTATCAAATTACGAACGGACGGTCCGTAGCCATAGCAGGACAAAATCAGCGCACCCTCTGAAGCTGCTCTCTGCATCGACAGGCGGCGATGTGGAAGAGACTGCCAGCCACAGAAGCGAGAAAGGGCGGCAGGGGCAATCAACGAATGTGGGCAGAGCAAGTCCCGCATGCTGAACGCGAAAACCAAACAGAGGAAGACCAGCGCGAGCGCGCGATCGGCCTATGAGGTCCACGGCACCGTTTCGGACTCATCGGTCCGCAGCCACGACAATCCAGCGAGCTGCTGCAGTAACCAAGCGGGCATCTGGCGGCTTCTAAAAACTTTGAACTTGTGGGGATGCTCGCTGCCAGGCCAAATCCAGGCAACGTTCCGACACTTTCGCCCCGTGGGCGCACAGTGCGATAAAAGCACTTTCAGAATGTAAAGTATGTGGGAACGCAGCTCTGCCCGAGCGGAAGCGCTATGTGAAAAAGGAACAGCGGAGATCACTTGGCGCCGTGGGAGGGTAAACCTGTCCAGCCGACAGAGGCGGCGCGCAGCCAAGAACAAGGGACGGCACGAGAGAGAGAGAGAGAGAGACACGTCGTGGATGTATAAGTGAGGTGGAGGAGGAATGGCAGAATAGCGCTCTGACGAAATCGGCGATGGGCCGCGGACATGCAGTTGGCAGTGCGAAAGCTGGCTTCTGGTAAGAAGTGCCAGGCGGGCTGCCGTGTGCAGATTCGCTCTGTGGCCGCTCGGGGCGCCGTCAGGTTAGCACTCAAGCCCAGATAAGGGCGCGGCACGCTGGATCAACACGCGATCTTACGCGGGCAGCTCACGCGCTAGTGTCGGCGCAGACGAGCCCGTTTTCTTGCGTCGCTGAAGTGTGCTCATGCAATGTTGTGTGTTGTTCGACTCACGTGGGACCGTTCTTGCCCGAGCCACCGGATCTCGGTGCTGGCGCCGCCCTCCGAGCCCCCACGAGATGGAGGCCCTGGCGGGCCCGCCGCGCCCTGGAGGCCTCAGCGAGCACGCCATCGCCGCCTGGGGGGCAGGCCCGTCGCTGGGGGAGCGAAAAAGCACGTAGACACGAAAACTCAGAGGTCCGCGCGGATTTCTTGGGTCCGCGCTGGACCCCCCTCCCTGGCGCGCTCTGCGCGCCAGGGGCGGCGCCGAAGGCGCCGCCAGGGGGGCCCCAGCGCCGATCCGAGAAATCCGCGCGGACCTCAGAGGTATTGTGTTCATGTCGATTCTAGAGGTAGGAAAGGGGTATGGTATCAGGGGGTGTGGTGTAATTTCAGGCATAGGGGACTCAGGCGATGCTGTTCATCGCAGATAGCATCGCCATTTCCACGATTGGCACCATACCCCTTTATGCCACACCCCTTCCCATACATACGACGTCCTGATTTTTTCAGGACGGCGTTCCCGAAGTCCAGACCCTGTCCCTGGGGCCGGTTTGTCGTCCTGAGTCGTTGTTTGACGGTCCTGGGGCCCGGCGAGGGCCTCTCGGGGTCGAAAATATAGAAAAAAACCGTCGTGATTTTTTAACGACGCGATCATGTCTGGGTTTCCGACCTCCAGATCAATGCTCTTCTCCACCCCGAATCTCGACTGATGGGGGCATGGCACGGCTGCAGGCGAGCCTCTCTCGCCCAGGCCTCGCCATGGGAAGGCGACGCCTCGGGAGCTGGCCACCTCGAAGGCGCTGCGGGAGAGGCGGAGACGCCGCAAGGAGACCGCGGAGGCCCCCCCCCCGCCCTCGAAGCGCCTAAAGCGGCTGCCGCAGGAGCGCCCTGCAACACGAGTTGCCGCCCCGGCAAGGACTGAGGTCAGGTCGGGCACCTCCTCCTACAGGGGGGATTTTGGACTAATAATGAAAACTAGCAGAAGGATCATACAATAGTCAACATGCTCAAAGAGAATCGTCCCCAGACTATATGTTTCCCAACCATCCTGCGGTGTTGGGTCCTCGTTTTGAAGAGACGGTCCCTGCGTTCCTCCTCCACCCTCCTTCCTCCCTCCTCCTTCCCCTCCTCCCTCCTACACCTCCTCCCTGCGCTTCAACCTCCCAGTACAACGCTTCGTGGCCCCATAGGGAGCTCCACCGAAACCCCCTGTGGGGCCGTCCGCATGCGTCCCGAAAACCCAATTTGGCATTTTCGCCCACCCAGTACAACGATTCGCGGCTCCATGGGGAGCTCCACAGAAGGCCCCAGTGCCACCGTCCGCATGCGTCCCACACACTCAATTTGGCAATTTCAGCGTTTCGTGACCCCAAAGGGAGCTCCACCGAAGCCCCCAATGGGACCGTGCGCATGCGTCCCAAAACACCCAATATGGCATTTTCGCCCACCCAATACACCGCTTCGTGGCCCCATAGGGAGCTCCACCGAAGACCCCAGTGGGACCGTCCGCATGCGCCCCGAAAACCCAATGTGGCATTTTCACCCACCCAATACAGCGCTTCGTGGCCTCATAGGGAGCTCCACCGAGGCCCCCCTCTGCCACCGTCCGCATGCGTCCCGGAAAAAAACACAATGTGGCATTTTTCGCCCACCCAGTACAGCGCTTCGTGACCCCATAGGGACCTCCACCGAAGCCCCCAGTGGGACCGAACACATTCAGTTTGGCATTTTCACCCACCCAGTACAGCGTTTCGTGGCCCCATAGGGAGCTCCACCGAAGGCCCCAGTGCCACCGCCCGCATGCGTCCCGAAAACTATGGCATGTTCACCCGCCCAGTACGGCGTTTCGTGGCCCCAAAGGGAGCTCCACCAAAGCCCCCAGTGGGGCCGTCCGCGCGCGTCCCGAAACGCACAGTTTGGCATTTTCGCCCGCCCAGTACAGCGCTTCGTGGGCGCTCCACCGAGGACCCCAGTGCCACCGTCCGCACGCGCCCCGGAAGCACAACGTAGCATTTTCACCCACCGTGTACAGCGTTTCGTGGCCACCGTGGGCTCATGGGGAGCTCCACCGAACCCCTCAGTGGGACCGTCCGCATGCGTCCCGAAAACCCAATGTGGCATTTTCACTCACCCAATCCAGCGCTTCGTGGCCCCATAGGGAGCTCCACCGACGGCCCCAGTGCTACCGCCCGCATGCGTCGCCCACACCGAGTACAGCGCTTCCTGGCCCCATTGGGAGCTTCACCGAAGGCCCTGGTGCTACCGCCCGCATGCGTTTCCCAGACCCAGTACAGCGCTTCGTGGCCCCATAGGGAGCTCCACCGAAGAAGACATTCGCAATTGCGGTACACACATCTGCATATGGTTGGGTCCTTCGGTCGGATCATTTTCTACTATTTCTGAATATCCCCCCCGTAGAAAGACAGGTCCGACTCAAGACGAAGGATACTCCCGGCAGGCGGCCACTCGGGCCACGGCGGAACCAGTACCTAGGACTAACTTACAAGACATTGCTGGCAGCGCGCGCGCTTTGGGTCTCCATGCTGCACGCTGCCGGAAGTCAGACACGCGCTGCTGCCCGCTAGGGCGCCTCGTGCTCGTCCACGATGCTGGTGAGCGGCCCGTCGCCCAGGGACGTGCATGCCACCAGGCCCGGCAGCAAGATCGAGCCTGCGTTCCAGGGCGCCGCGCTCGCGGAGCTCTTGGCGCTGCGACGGCCCGCGCGCTTCCCGCGCCTGGGGCCGTGGCGGGGGACGTCGGCGAGTTCCGAGCCGGAGGCGGAGCTCAGCTGCGAGCTCGAGGCCTCCTTCACAAAGGCCCCCGCACGCATGACAGGCTTGGGCACGTCGGTGGAGGACTCGCTGTGCTGGTCCGTGCCCCCGGCGCTCCTGCACCCCGCCACCGCCACCGCCGCGGAGGGCGCACGCCGCGCCGGCGAGCGCGGCCGCAGCTCCTGCCTCGGGCAGAGCGCCGGCCTCAGCAGGCCCTCCGGGCCGCCGGCGTCCTCGGACAGGTCGGCCCAGCTGGGCGCCGCCCTGCCCGGCGGCGCCTGCCGCCCGGGGCGGAGCGCCGCACGCGACAGGCCCTCGTCGCCTGGCTCTGGGATCTCGCCGGCGCCCGGGTAGAGCCCCGCCGCCAGCAGGCTCCCGCGGGCGGCGCCGCCAGCCGGCAGCTCCTGCAGGTCGTGCTCTCCGGGGGGCGCTGCCGCCGTGGGCGCGCGGGCGCCGCTCGGGTTGGGGCGGCGCCGCTGACGCCTGAGGAGCGGCAGCCGCTTGGTGGGCAGCGGGAACTTTGCGCGCGCCCCGCTCTCGAACACGACGGGCTTGCAGCCGTCCGGCATGGCGTCGTGCATGATTGGGCTGTTCCTGTATCGGTCCACATGGGCCTCGTAACCCTGCGCGAAGCTCCAACCCACCGCCATCTCGCGATCGCAGTGCACCTGCCACGAGGAGAAGCCCTCGAACACCGCCCTGAAGCGCGCGGCGTGCTCGGGCTTCGTGAGGTTCACGAACGCAAAGCCGAATGTCGTGCCAGAATTGAATTCGAAGGGCACGTAGACGAAATCGTAGAGTCCCGAGAAGCCGTGCGAGTCGAGCAGCTCCAGGAGGAGGTCGCGAGTGTAGCTGGGGGGCAGATTCCGCACCAGCACGGTGGTCCGGTCCTCTGCGTGCTCCGCGCCGTCGGGGCCTGCGGCGCTGCTTGCAAAGGTGCCGAAGAAGTCCGCGGCCTGGCCGAGCCGATCGACCTCGGCGTCGAGCCCCTCCGCCGCGCCGCACCAGTGCCCCTGCTCATGCTCGACCGCGCTCGGCGCGGGCGCCGCGGGCGCCGAGCGGACGCGCCGGACGCTCGCGCACCTAGAGGCCTCCTAGATGGGGTCCGAGTGGATGGGGTCGGAGGATCGCGCCACATCGCCGTTACATCGGCGATGCATCGCCGATGCACTGGCGATGCATCCGCGACGTTGGCGATGCACTGGCGCCATCGGCGTGACGAAACGCCGGGCCCCACATTGCGCCGCACCGCCGATGCATCGGCGATATGCGGCGCGATCCCCCGACCCCGTCGATTCCGACCCCATCTGGGAGGCATGGAGCACCTGTTGTCTTCCGCGACGACCTCGATGAACGTGTTCTGCACCTTGGCGGCGCGCACAAGGGGATAGTGGGAGGGGGGGAGGCTTCTTAGGAGGAGGCTGCTTCTTAGACGGCGCCGGCCTTACATCTACAGAGAAGGCCCGCGCCTTCTAAGAAGCAGGGGTGCCTCTAAGACTCTCTAAGAAGCCTTCCCCCCTCCCCCTACCCCTCTCTGCACGCCGCCAAGCACCAACACCCGCACGGAGCTGCTGTCCCCGCTGGACCCGGACGGATCCCCGGCGGAGGGGGCCGCAGCGGGGTGCGCGGCGGCGGCGCCCGCCGCGGCGCGGGGCTCTCCGGGCATGTGGCTACACGCCGCGGCCGCTCGGGGGGGGAGGCGGCGCGGGGCTGCTGCGCGTGGGGTGGGCTCGGGCTGCAGTGGAGGCCAGCTGGGCAGGCGGGAGCGCGTGCGGGGGTGAGGAGGGGGAACCATGAGGATCCCGTCGGACAAAAGGGGGGTACATCGTATTTGTTTACCCTCCTCCTCCTCCTCGTCATCAGCATCATTCTCATCATGGTCATCAGACTGATGAAGATGATCATACTAATGATAAGAATAGCAATAATAATACTAACAGTCATCATCATCATCATCATCATCATCATCATCATCATCATCATCATCATCATCATCATCATGATCATCCTCATCAACATCATCAACATCACCATCATCATCATCATCATCATCATCATCATCATCATCAACATCGTCATCATCGTCGGCGTCGTTGTCGAGATCATGACGATTACCACGGCAATGACCATAAACATTACCATAACCGTCACAATAACCATCAACATCACCACCACCACCACCATCATCATCGTCATCATCATCACCATCATCATCATCATCACCATCATCATCAACACCGTCGTCATCATGCTCACCATCATACCCACACCCTCTCGATAATCAAGCATACCGCTAACCCTTGTATCTCTTTATCCACGGGATTCATTGTGATTCAATTGCCACAGCAGGCGGGGATGCCGAACTGTATCATCCCCGCCAAAGTTCCTTTCCCACCAGTCCACCATACTATTTCACACGATTGTGATCAGCCCACATTGTACCTCTGGGAAACAGTTGATTATCCTCCCTGGATCTCGAAATTTAGTAGCCCCAGGGGATTATTCTCACCAGGGTTCGGTTACTCATAATCAGGGCTCCCCTAAACCTGAAGACATGAAGTGTCACACGTGACGGCCTCAAGCGCCCCTTCGAACAGTCGCCAACCAAAAAGCTGGGCCAAGAGGTCCCCCAGGAGGGTCCGAAGAGTCCAAAATCATTGATTTTCCTTAGGTTTTGGAAGGATTTCGGAATTTGCTTCTTCTCGGCATTCCGACGGCTCAAGACGGCCCAAGAGGCCCCCAAGATCGCCCAAGAGGCCCCCAAGAGGGCCCCATGACGGCCCAAGTGGCCTCAGATGGCCCCAAGATGGCCCCAAGACGGCCCAAGAGGCCTCCAATACGCCCAGGATGGCCTCCAAGACGCGCAAGATGGCTTCCAAGACGGCCCCGAAGCGCCCCGAGAGGGCCCCCCGTTGGCCCAGAAAGGCCCCCAAGACGGCTCCCGACGGCGTCAGATGTGCCAGGAACCCACCAAGATGGCCAAAGTTGGCTCGAAGCTAGCCCAAGACGCCCTAAGAGGCCCCCAAGAGGGCCTCCAGGAAGGCCATAAAAGGCCAAAAACCTTGATGTTCCTCATGTTCTTGACGGATTTTGACATTTCCTTCTTTTCGGCCTTCCGACGGCCCGAGACGGCCCAACAGCCCCCAAAGATTGCCGAAAGATCGCCCAAGAGGCCTCCAAGACGGCCAAGATGACCTTCAAGATGCCCACGTGTTCCCCGAAGGCTTTCCAAACCGATTCGGGGAACACATGGTCCGATAGCTTGGCAGGTCTGGCCTCAGCGTTCGGCCACATCGGCGCTTCCAAAAAGGCAGGGGGCGGCGGTGATTCGCCGTAGGCGTCTTCAATCCGCCCCCTGTCGATTCATCGCAGGGGTGCCTGGCGTGCTAGACGATTTCCAATCGAACTCCCCCTGGGGCTTCGGCGCGTCCCGCCGGGGTCCCGGGAAGGATCTCAAAACGCATCCGTCGATGCCTTTGTTGCCCCAAGTTGACCCAAGATGGCCTCCAAGACGGCCAAGGTGGCCCAGGATGGCCTCCAAGTTCGCCCAAGATGGCCTCCAAGACGGCCCAAGAGGGTCCAAGATGCTTTCTAAATCGCCCAAGAAGCCTCAAAACGGGCCAATATGGCTCCAAGATGGCCTCAAGATGGCCCAAGAGGGTGCCAAGAGGTCCCCCAGGAGAGCCCGAAGAGGCCAACATCATTGATTTGCCATTGGTTTCAAATGATTTGGACATATGCTTCTTTTAAGCCTTCCCGCTGTCCAAGACGGCCCAAGAGGCCACCAAGATCGCCCCCAGAGCACTCAAGAGGAGTCCAAGATGGGCCCAGGATGGCCTCCAAGACGGCCCCAAGAGGGCCCCAAGACGGGCCAAGAGGCCTCCAAGACGCCCAAGATGGCCTCCAAAACGGCCCTGAAGCGCCCTAAGAGGGCCCCAAGCCGGTTCAGAGAGGCCCCCAAGACGGCTCCCTACGGCGTCAGACGGGCCAGGAACCCACCAAGATGGCCGAAGTTGGCTCGAAGCTGGCCCAAGGCCTCCAAGAGGGCCTCCAGGAATGCCAGAAAAGGTAAAAACACTGATGTTCCAAAGGTTTATGAAGGATTGTGGCATTTGCTTCTTTTCGGCCTTCCAACGGCCCAAGAGCCCCCAAAGATCGACCAAGAGGCCTCCAAGATGGCTCCAAAAGGGGGCCAAGAGGCTCCCAAGACGGCCCCAAGAGGCCCCCAATACGGCCCAGGAGGCCTTTAAGACGCCCAAGGTGGCCTCCCAGACGGCCCTGGAGCATTCCAAGAGGGCCCCAAGTCGGCCCAGAGAGGCCCCCCAAATGGCGTCCGACGGCGTCGGACGGGCCAGGAGCCCACCAAGACGGCCGAAGATGGCCCTAAGATGGCCCAAGAGGCCTCCCAGAGGGCCTCCAGGAAGGCCCGAAAAGGCAAACATTTTTGATTTCCCATGAATTTTTGAAGGATTATGGCATTTGCTTGTGTTCGGTCTTCCGACGGCCCGAGAAGGCCCAAATGCCCCCAAACATCACCCAAGACGGCCCCAAGAGGCCCCCAAAAGGGCCAAAGAGGCCTCCAAGACGCTCAAGATGGCCTCCAAGACGGCCCAAAAGCCCTCCAAAACGTCCTCCAAGAAGGCCCGACAAGGGTCAATATGGCCTCCGGACGGCCAAGATGACCTTCAAGATGCCCACGTGTTCCCCGAAGGCTTTCCAAACCGGTTCGGGGAACACATTGTCCGATAGCTTGGCTGGCCTCAACGTTCGGCCACATAGGCGTTTCCAAAAAGGCAAGGGGCGGCGGTGATTCGCCGTAGGCGTCTTCGATCCGCCGCCCCCTGTCGATTCATCGCAGGGGTGCCTGGCGTGCTACATGATTTCGATTTTGGTTCTTTTCCAGAAGAACTCCCTCTGGGGCTCTGGCGTGTCCCGCCGGGGTCCCGGGAAGGATCTCAAAACGCATCCGTCGATGCCTTTGTTGCCCCAAGTTGGCCCAATATGGCCTCCAAGACGGCCAAAATGGCCCAGGATGGCCTCCAAGTTCGCCCAAGATGGTCCAATATGGCTGCCAGGACGGCCCAAGAGGACCCAAGATGCCTTCAAAATCACCCAAGAAGCCTCAAAACGGGCAAATATGGTTCCAAGATGACCTCAAGATGGCCCAAGAGGGTGCCAAGAGGTCCCCCAGGAGAGCCCGAAGAGGCCAACATCATTGATTTGCCATTGGTTTCAAATGATTTGGACATATGCTTCTTTTAAGCCTTCCCGCTGTCCAAGACGGCCCAAGAGGCCCCCAAGATCGCCCCCAGCGCACCAAGAGGCCTCCAAGATGATGATCGGCTCGATCTGAATCTTGACGGTCCGATTCCGAGGGATATCTGCATCGGGGAGTTCGCGTCAGATTTCAGATCGGGTCTCGTCCTTGCCCCGAACGCCCCGTCAGGCCAGCCCGAGCTCCCCGAACCGGAGTCCCACGTCTCCCCGACACGACGACGGGCGACCGAGAACGAGGAAAACGAAGGGAGGGTGGGGCGGGGAGGGGAGGGGAGGGGAGGGGAGAGGAGGGGTGGAGAGGAGAGGGGAGGCGACTGGTTGTTACTGTGGCCCGTTGGGTGTTCGCGTGGCCCGTTGGGTCTTAGCGCGGCCCGTCGCGCGGTCAGATGGGAGTTACTGTGGCCCGCGCTGGCCGTTCAATGGAAAGTAATATGTAAAGGTATATCATGTTAGATCTGGAGAGATTCGCAAACCTTAAGGGACTGCCTTTCCCGCCCATTACCAGCGAAAACCAGAAAATTACTCCGACGGTAGGACCCCGCACGAAAACCTGTTTAGCTTACCCTTTGCCGTTTCCTCCTCCCCTTGGCAGACATCCTCTCCTCTCGCCCTCTGCGCTGCCCTGTCTTCCTCCTTCTATTTCTCTTCCTCCTTCTCCTCCTCCTCCTCCTCCTCCTCCTCCTCCTCCTCTCGCACCACCTCCTCCTCCTCCTCGTCGTCGCCCTCCCACATGCCCTTCCCTCCTCGTCCTCCTGCCTCTTCTCCATGTGCACCTCCCGCCCCCCCTGGTCGCGGCAAGCAACTCGATTTTCCTTGGCGCCGCCGCCGCGTCGGCCAGCGCGCGCGCGCGTTTGCCGACGGCTAGATCGCGAAGCCGCCGGGGCAACCCTTCGGGCCAGGCCGTTGGGGCAACCTCGCAGGCCGCAGGGGCGCGGGGGCCAGCCGCTGGGACAACCCCGCGGGCCTCCAGGTGCGCGCCGCGGCGCTCAGGCGGGCGGCAGCACGAAGCCCAGCTCTGCCGCGAGCTGCTCCGCCTCAGCCCTGGAGTCCGCCGCTCTCTTGTCGAATTCCTGGAGCGCCTTCCGCGGC